GTGTCCTAGCGCCTCGCGACAAAAAACAACGGATTGCCCTTGACAAGATCTCCCGAGTGAGCATATTACTTTTGACTTAAGGTCAATATTTGACCTACTATAGAAGTTCAAAGTTAAACGTCTGTCGAAGTTGCGATCCGCGGTGAAACCAATCCGCCCCGACCGCGACACCCGACCGCGCCGGACAAAAACTTCAATAGCGCCGGTCTGCCCTGTACTAGCGCCTTAATTCTTTCACAGTGTGACTCAGAAATGGTTAGGGAATGATATGGTATGGTGCACTAACGGGCCCATACTGTGTAAACTGCTGTAGGTGAAACGAAAACAAATATTTCTTAGTACAAAACTGCGATTGCAACATAATGGCAAATGATTAGATCACCGCCAAACCAAAAAAGATGCGGCTTTTTGTGACCCGGCATGAGAAGCAGCAGGCTTTAGGGATCATTGGCATGTATAATTTTTGTCATTTGTATGAAATGAACGCACGCTAGCGAGTAGCGGCGTTTGAAGTTGCGAGTATCTGACAGTCATTTTACGACATAGAAAATGTCACGACTTCTGACAATCATACACGAGGCCGGTTTTGACAAATATATGAAAACTATGTTAATTCAGATGCGCCAAACATTTCTTTGGTTAGCCATATAGCGATTTACTCGGGTTGGTAAACTTGACTTTTTGGTATTTATGGCCACTCGTGAACCCCATTTGCATCACTGTGCTGTGGCTAGTTAATGCATACGCCTGTAATCCTGAAATAAGAGAAAGGATATCAGGTGTATGATACATTTGCCACTGTTCAGTGTTAATTATGGTTACAGACTAAGCATGGGTGGATTCATTCAATGTAGGCATGTAATGTAGCTATCTGGCCATACATGCAGATGCTCTTTCTTGGTAAAATTGGGAGAGGAAAATTACCCTGGAAAACAGGAGGTGAGAGTGGAAATTTATTCTACTTTGGGTGTACTTTCCCACCCAAATAAAAAAAAATGGGACACTGCGCCGAGCTGAGGCCAGCCGTGCGTGACAGACAGCCCGCGCCGCGGTGACAGACAGTCCGCCGCCGCGGTGACAGACAGCCCGCCGCAGCGGTGACAGACAGTCCGCCGCCGCGGTGACAGACAGCCCGCCGCCGCGGTGACAGACAGCCCGCGCCGCGGTGACAGACAGTCCGCCGCCGCGGTGACAGACAGCCCGCCGCAGCGGTGACAGACAGTCCGCCGCCGCGGTGACAGACAGCCCGCCGCCGCGGTGACAGACAGCCCGCGCCGCGGTGACAGACAGCCCGCGCCGCGGTGACAGACAGCCCGCCGCCGCGGTGACAGACAGCCCGCGCCGCGGTGACAGACAGCCCGCCGCCGCGGTGACAGACAGCCCGCCGCCGCGGTGACAGACAGCCCGCCGCCGCGGTGACAGACAGCCCGCGCCGCGGTGACAGACAGCCCGCCGCCGCGGTGACAGACAGCCCGAGCCGCGGTGACAGACAGTCCGCCGCCGCGGTGACAGACAGTCCGCCGCCGCGGTGACAGACAGTCCGCCGCCGCGGTGACAGACAGCCCGCCGCCGCGGTGACAGACAGTCCGCCGCCGCGGTGACAGACAGCCCGCCGCCGCGGTGACAGACAGCCCGCCGCCGCGGTGACAGACAGCCCGCCGCCGCGGTGACAGACAGCCGCAGACATGTGGCCGGGCGGGTCCCGTTCAACGCAGCCTCGCTGCGTTACTAACGCGCGCTCATGTCCCACGGTCTGGGGTTCCCGCGGTTCGGACACGGCCGGTCGATCTGACGAAACGCTGCCAGTTCAGGCCACACCGGTCCACACAGACTCCGACAGACCGCCCGGACAGACTCCGACAGACCGCCCGGACAGACTCCGACAGACCGCCCGGACAGACTCCGACAGACCGCCCGGACAGACTCCGACAGACCGCCCGGACAGACTTCGACAGACCGCCCGGACAGACTCTGACAGACCGCCCGGACAGACTCCGACAGACCGCCCGGACAGACTCCGACAGACCGCCCGGACAGACTCCGACAGACCGCCCAGACAGACTCCGACAGACCGCCCGGACAGACTCCGACAGACCGCCCGGACAGACTCCGACAGACCGCCCGGACAGACTCCGACAGACCGCCCGGACAGACTCCGACAGACCGCCCAGACAGACTCCGACAGACCGCCCGGACAGACTCCGACAGACCGCCCGGACAGACTCCGACAGACCGCCCGGACAGACTCCGACAGACCGCCCGGACAGACTCCGACAGACTGCCCGGACAGACTCCGACAGACCGCCCGGACAGACTCCGACAGACCGCCCGGAAAGACTCCGACAGACCGCCCGGACAGACTCCGACAGACCGCCCGGACCGACTCCGACAGACCGCCCGGACAGACTCCGACAGACCGCCCGGACAGACTCCGACAGACCGCCCGGACAGACTCCGACAGACCGCCCAGACAGACTCCGACAGACCGCCCGGACAGACTCCGACAGACCGCCCGGACAGACTCCGACAGACCGCCCGGACAGACTCCGACAGACCGCCCCGGGCGGTGTTCCACGGCAGAGCGCTGCTCGCGTCGGTGCGTTGGGTTTCCATGGCAATATCAACAAACTCCACTCCGACGCTACGCTATGACGTCATCGCAAAACGCTAGCACCCCAGCGCCAGCACCATCAGCACGCTAGCAGCATTCGTACTCAAACCTCTCTTCTCTCTGTACTTGGTTCCTTAGGACCTCTGTTCCAAACGCGATACATCAAAATCTAACGGATCGCACGCAACGTCATTCGAGTGACGTCAGGTTATGCCTTAGCTCCCAGTGCGCTGCAGCGCGCGCAGCGTCGGGCGGTGAAACAGGGCCCCGGTGACGTCACGGCGCGGCACGCTCCGGTGACGTCACTGGTAACTGTCGGCCGTTCTCCCAGCGGTAGCTGGAACCGCTGAGCCACCCTGAGCCGCGTCCATTCATAACAGGTCACCGGGCCGGACATGGCCCAGTGGTGACGGCTACTGGGAGGCCGGACATGGCCCAGTGGTGACGGCTACTGGGAGGCCGGACATGGCCCAGTGGTGACGGCTACTGGGAGGCCGGTCATGGCCCAGTGGTGACGGCTACTGGGAGGCCGGTCATGGCCCAGTGGTGACGGCTACTGGGAGGCCGGACATGGCCCAGTGGCACTGAAAATAAATTCACACCCGCTCCTGGTGTTAACACCTTTTTAGGAAATGTTTACACCCCACCGTTTTTGAGCACCTGCACCGGTGTAGTTTCAACACCAAGCTTTGGTGTAAGCATACACTGAATCCTGGTGTAACACCAGGCACATACACTGGCGTATGGCGTTAAATCACTGTAAGTACACCAGTTTGTGGTGCTACACGACGTCTTTACACCATAAAAAGGTGCTACACCATTAATTTGCACCTTCTTTACGGGTACAAAACAAATACCCTTACACCAATGTGTGGTGTTAGTAGCCAATTGGGTACACCCTCTTCCGGTGTTGTGAAGGAGATACACCGGTGTTTGGTGTAGCTGCAGCTCGATGAATTAATATATATATATATATATATATATATATACGTGTGCATGGGTCTGTGTGAACTATGTGACAAGTCCATATGGGTATACAGTGGCTTGCCTAGACCCCATACAAAGCAAAGCATTCCTTAAATAAAGACAATTTATTTTGTAACGTCCGAGACGAGCAATAAACAAATGTTATTAACAAAAATTGCGGCAACTGTGAGTGGCGCTTTCTCAAGTGCACGGGTGGTCACCGGACTCTGCTGACAACATACCAGACCAGACATTTATCTCACACTTATTTATCACACTTATTTATCACACTTATTTATCACACTTATTTATCACTTATTTATCTCACACAGGGCTGCGGAGTCGATGGATTTTCGGCGACTCCGACTCCGACTCCGACTCCGGCTTTCAAAAACCAGCTCCGACTCCGACTCCGACTCCGGGCAGAATTGTCGACTCCGACTGACTCCAACTCCCGACTCCGACTCCGCAGACCTAGCAGGGCTGAGGAGTCGACAGATTTTCGGTGACTCCGACTCCGACTGCGGATCGGGTTTCTAAAAGCGACTCCGACTCCGACTCCGACTCCGGTCACAACTGTCGACTCCGACCGACTCCGACTCCGACTCCGACTCCGCAGCCCTGATTCTCACACCACCTCCAGTCTCCACACAGCCCCGCATCACTCGACTCAAACTGAAGCGCGAATGAACACGCCGCCGTTCATTTGAATTTACGCATGTGCACGCGCAGCCGCTCGCGCTGGCCGGCGGCCGGCTGACCTTGAATCCAAGGCCATATCCGATCCATGGTAACGGTGCTAGTAACACCGTTTAGAGATCAATGAACTGGGAGCTACACCATTGTGTGGCGTATGCGATATAACGTCTCTGTCACGGGGTGTTGACACCAAATGGTGGTGTTATTTATCCGTAGCGTCGGTTGGTCTGAGGTGGCATTGGTGTTAATTGTCGGTGTTGATTTTGAACACCGAGTAATTGCACCATTCTTCGGCGTTACACCCCACAGTTACACAGTTGAGTTGTGTTACACCCTACCAAAACGCCTCTCATTGGTGCTTTTTTCGTGTCACCGGCACGCGAGTGTTAATTTATTTTCAGTGCATGACGGCTACTGGGAGGCCGGTCATGGCCCAGTGGTGACGGCTACTGGGAGGCCGGACATGGCCCAGTGGTGACGGCTACTGGGAGGCCGGACATGGCCCAGTGGTGACGGCTACTGGGAGGCCGGTCATGGCCCAGTGGTGACGGCCACTGGGAGGCCGGTCATGGCCCAGTGGTGACGGCCACTGGGAGGCCGGTCATGGCCCAGTGGTGACGGCAGAGAGGTCACTCTGCGTCCCCAGCTGTGCCTACCGCAGCCTCCAGAATGTGTGCCTGGGCCAGCTGGCCTGACTCTGACTCTGTTTCTGACTCTGACTCACCTTGAGGGCGCAGAAGATACAAGAGTCCAGCATGCACGCGTGGCCGCTGAGATCCCGGAAGCTGCGTCGAAAAATGTCCAGGTGCCACAACACCTGAAGCGAGCCAAAAAATGGGGACGGACGTCAAACAGTAGCACAGACAACACATACACACAGACTGGGGCAGGAGGACAGCGTAATACTGTCAGTTACCACACAGACAACACATACACACAGACTGGGGCAGGAGGACAGCATAATACTGTCAGTTACCACACAGACAACACATACACACAGACTGGGGCAGGAGAACAGCGTAATACTGTCAGTTACCACACAGACAACACATACACACAGAATGGGGCAGGAGAACAGCGTAATACCGTCAGTTACCACACAGACAACACATACACACAGACTGGGGCAGGAGGACAGCGCAATACTGTCAGTTACCACACAGACAACACATACACACAGACTGGGGCAGGAGAACAGCGTAATACCGTCAGTTACCACACAGACAACACATACACACAGACTGGGGCAGGAGGACAGCGCAATACTGTCAGTTACCACACAGACAACACATACACACAGACTGGGGCAGGAGAACAGCGTAATACCGTCAGTTACCACACAGACAGCACATACACACAGACTGGGGCAGGAGGACAGCGCAATACTGTCAGTTACCACACAGACAACACATACACACAGACTGGGGCAGGAGGACAGCGTAATACCGTCAGTTACCACACAGACAACACATACACACAGACTGGGGCAGGACAGCGTAATACCGTTAGTTACCACATCAATGACCAAAAGTCGGGAAAATCGGGACCTGTTAGAAAGTCGTAAAGTGTGGCTGCTAAGGGGTTACGGGGTGCTGATCACGAATATCGTGTTAGTTTTGATCACAGATGATGTCTTTAAGCATTTAGACCAGGTCGGGTCAGGTCACGTCAGGTCAACCAGTAGGCGTCGTGACGGGTATTCGTAATACGTGTCAACCGCCTCTGACAGCTTCGTAACATGTTACGAAGGCACCAAAACTATTTCGTAAATGTTCAAATGGTTGCTAAATTCGAATTCAGCTCCAAAAACTAGCCTGGAAACATGTACAGCTCGAAAAAGTGAACCGAGGTCACCCGAGGTCACCAAAGGTCAATGACCTGACCTGACCTTCAGGTGACCTTGACACCCACCCTAATGCATGGAAGCAACATCAAATCACATGTTTGAACGTTTGAAACCACGAAAAGCTTGCAAACGCGCGGCTAATGCGAGCCGACATACGCAGAATCGCGATTCCGGCCAAACATGGTCTCGGAAAAGAGGTCACAGGTCAAAGGTCATTTGGGTCAGGGTCATGAAATTTTCAGGGTAGGTGTCAAATTGATCAATGTGAGGGTACTGAACGCTTCGTCGCGATCGGCCGCTTTTTACGCGAGTTATTCGCGAAAAACCATGGGGGGTCCATCCGACCCCCCCCCCCTACACATGCGAGGGTTAAGCTTACGTGTGGGGCTCGCTTGAAAAAGGTCGATTTAACATGGAAACCCTATGGGGTAGTAGTTTTTGAGCGCCCATTTGGCCCAATGCTACCAACCGTTACTGGCTTCCCGTGGCCGGCACCGCTGTTTTGAATTCAATGATTCAGCTGCAGAGGCCGGGGCCCTCCGCTCAGACTTGCCACAGAACATATTTAGAACAATACTTCATTCATCATTCATCAGTACCTAGAAGGGTTGACTTGTGAAACGTTCAAATAAGCTAGGGGAATATGGGGAACACTGCCCTTTGGGGAACACCACCCAACCCCATATCAAAAATATGAAAAGGTCTAGGGCGACAGCTGACTGTCTTTTGGCAGCGTGACGTCAGCAGAAGTGCAGGTATGAGCAGTGCACCGCATTGTTTCAGGTAATTTGCGAGAAATTCCTAATTTTATGATTTGTGAATACGTTTTATACTTTTTCTAGCAAAATCAGCAGAAGCAAACTTATCTTCTTTGACAGACAATATTAGGACTTATTCAAACGTTTCATGCTTCTGCTCGAGCGCCATTTTTGTCGTACTGCCATGTTGAAGGATTTTGTAGAAAAATGCAGACCCTTGGGTAACACCGCCCACTTTGGTATTTAATAGCACATTGTAATACCTGACCCAGAAGTGACGCATTTCACATAAAGAAAGAACGTTGTTGCTATGCTTTCTTTTTAGAGGATATAGACAAATTTCGAGAAAATGAAATTTTGGGGCTTTAAGTCGTCTACTTTTATAAATCTGTACTACATTGTACCCGGAATATAATGAAATTATTCCCACTGCATTTTTTTAATATACTGAAGCGCCTCAAAATTTACGATAAGAAGGAAAACTTAATAGTTCAGCAATCTGCAAATTTCGTTGCCTGCTGAGCTCGGGCGATGTTACCCAATGGGCGGTGTTACCCCGAAAAAATGTAGACTTTTACTAAATGTGGAATAATTCAATTATGAACGAAATTACAAGAACACAATTGGGTGATAGGTATGTATGTAAAATTAATGCGACAATCATATGAAACTAAGAGATTAACCATGTGACCATAAATTATGTGACTAGACCCTAAAAGGTTAAGGGGGTCGGTGTTCCCCCATCTTCCCCTACCACTTAGAGTGACCATCCCACCTTAACATTAGTTTTGAGTTGAGATAGCCAAATTGGTGGCCATGGCCTGCAAATACCGGTTTGGGCACTCACAACCAACTCACAACATCGAAAAATGCTTTAATTCGGAGATATGGAATTTCAAACTTGCAGTTTTCGGATTCTAATGAGCTAATGCATTGGAATGCCCCCTTAGAATTTGTGACGTCAGCGGAGATCTAACGATTGACTAAAACCATCGTTAACACGTGGTGGTATACGCTGCTTTGCGCGCAACATCTGCCGCACTTCAAGGCTGCCAAACATAGGCGTCGCCAGAGATTTTCGGTTTGGGGGGGGGGGCAAAATCAGCTTTTGTGTTAAAACTTGCCTTTCCCCAGTCTTAACTCACTCGTTTTACATATCATTCGACGCGCAATGGTGCGAGGAATCCGATGGTGACAAAGGTTTCCTTCTAGCTATGACATGTAATTTTTTTACAGAAAAATTCGAAATTTTGAAATTTCATGACAAAAAAACGACTGGTAGAATTATAGTATATAGTGGCTGCGATTGCCGACGCACTGCAGAGGGCCCCTGTGCAGAAGCTCGACGCTCATGAGCATTACCCAGAAAAGGTGAAAAAGCTCCATTTAATCGGATCACCCTGCTAAAACCTCCATTAACGCATGCATGCAGAGGTTTTACGTGAAATGCATAGGACTCCCAGCCGCCGATCGTAGCTAAGTTGGGCATTCGGCGGAGAGTGAATGTCGGAAGTGTGAATCGGAAGTAATTCATCTTTGCCCCAGTGAGAAGAAGTGCTGGGGCATTCCACGTCAAATCGAACAAAAATCGGTTGTTTTGCACCTTACCGTCAGCGATTTCATTATAAATTTGTGAGCGAGTTCCTGTGTGGCCCCGGATATTACATTGATGTTTTTTGCACATTCTGACCACAGGTCTTCTAAATATAGGGCATCAAATTTTTACAAAATGTTGCATCTTTATATTTTTGAACGACCATAACTTTGGTTGTACTTGTTTGATTTGAATGAAATAAACCTTACTTTTTAGGTAATTTCTTAAGCATTTGTTTAGAATTGTTCCTACTTAAATATATGACCTTGAAATTTGCTTAACTCTGTTCTTAAGCACAAATATTGAAATAGCAAAAAACACGTCACCTTCGATTTGGCTAATTTTCATATATTTTATTGCCTACCATATTCTTAACAACCTGTGAAAAAATTAGAGTGGGCCATTCATAAGTTTTGAAGAAAATTGCACATATGCAAACGTATGTTAGCACGCGCAGTGGAGGGGGAAGAGCGAATTTCGCCCACCCCTCCTGTTTTTCGCCAATATCTCATAAGATTAATGCGAAATTAATTATGGCTACCTGTCAAGAATTGAATTGGACATCTCATCGTGCAAGCAATAAGAAAATCGGTTCACAACTGTTCTAGTAATAGCGGTGTAAAGTGAACATCCTGTCGCCGCAGCGACGCGGCGACTCGGCAGCCGGCGCCGACCGCTACGCGCCGCCTGAATTGTAGACTGTGCCGGGACGGAACGGAACGGTTCCGTCTTTACATCGCGCTCCCTGCCGCTGATTACGTTCGATTCGCGTCAAATTTTGTGAGAAGACTAAGAAATGTACAGGCAATCGTATGGTGAAAGAATTTTGAAAATCAGTTGGTAAACAATTGAAATATGAACGTGTAAACACAAAATTGTGATTGCTGCGTTTCCCGCATCGGCCGAGCCCGCCTCAGCCGGCGACGTTACTCTTAGCAGGCCTCTAACTGCCATATTTATTATTGGATTAACTAGAAATTCTCCATACATACTAAAAAATGTATGTTCTTTCCTATAATGAAGATCAAAAGACGTGAAGACATCGTTGCGTGATAATGTTTTCGTTGAATTTACTTCATGATGCATTTCCACACGGCTCAAAATTCACCGCAAAATACCGTTTGCCTGAGACACTTTTACTATGGAACGTGAATGCTTGACTACGATGACTATGCATTTCCATTCTCGCAGAGTTTGGGATATCACTAATCAGCAATCATTCATTTCAGAAAGTGTACACAAGCAAGCATGTCTTGACTCTGTCTTTCAAGGTCACGCGCGGTTGCGTGATGTTGATGCATGAAAACGGCGTTTGCCGCGAAAGTTATGAATGGCCCACTCCAATTTTTTCACAGATGGTTAAGAACATTGTGACGTACATAATATGTAAAAATTACCCAGATCGAAGGTGACGTGTTTTTTGCTATTTAAATTTTTCTGTTTTGATTCAAGGTCAAATGCATTTCAAGGTCACTTCAATTTAATTTTACAATTAAAAATCAAAGCCTTATCAATTGCCTATAAGACCCTGTTAATATCATTTTGATACCAGAAAAGGAACCAGAGTTATAGCCATTTAAAAAATTGATGTGTGGCATTTTTCGCTATATTCGATGACC